CCCTACCTTTTACTCCAACATACCACACAATTTCCCTACCTTTCTCCATCATTTACCCCAACACACCACACAATTCCCCTACCTTTTACTCCAACATACCAAACACACAATTTCCCTACCTTTTGCTCAATTACATCACATAATTCCTCTTTCATTTACCCCAACACACCACACAATTTCTCTATCATTTACTCCAACATACCACACACACAATTCCCCTACCTTTTACTACAACATATAACACACACAATTCCCCTATCTTTTACTCCAACATACCACACACACAATTCCCCTACCTTTTACTCCAACATACCACACACACAAACACACAATTTCCCTACCTTTTGCTCAATTACATCACATAATTCCTCTTTCATTTACCCCAACACACCACACAATTTCTCTATCATTTACTCCAACATACCACACACACAATTCCCCTACCTTTTACTACAACATATAACACACACAATTCCCCTATCTTTTACTCCAACATACCACACACACAATTCCCCTACCTTTTACTCCAACATACCACACACACAATTCCCCTACCTTTTACTACAACATACCACACACACAATTCCCTACCTTTTACCCCAACACACCACACAATTTCCCTGCGATTTACCCCAACATACCACACACACAATTTCCCTACCTTTGATGTCAATGTATCCATTCGGATCTATCCAGATGAGAGCTCCCTCTTTATCCTGGCCAAAGAGGCCGCCGGTGTAATACTTGAGCATCACCTCGGGGGGCTCGAACCACTCCAACATGGTGTCCACCTTGTTCTGTTCTCGCCACTTCATGTTCTAGGACAACCACAGGGAAATTATCAAAGTAAATCTGGGACATGCTCTTTTTAGTTTTAGTAAGAGTTTTAAGGCACTTGCAACACAATAAGGTCATATGAGCGCCAGAAGATTAGAGGTGTTACAAGAGAGTAACAAACATAAAAAAGAAGAAGGGGAGATCAGGACGATAGATGTTTGATAGGAAAGAAGGAACATACCACACCAGAGCACCCGCCAACCACCCACAGGGACATGTCCTAATCGGTATACAGGATACAACTCAGACAGCTGCATGATACTGACACACTCACTGAGAGCTCTCATGTACTTCTTAATTTTAGTTTTAGCAGGAGTTTTACGGCACTTACAACGCAATAAGGTCATGCAAGTGCCCAAGATTAGAGGAGTTATGAAAAATAACAAACACAAACACAAAAAAAGAAAAAGCAGAGATCAGGACAATAGACGTTTGTTAGGAAAGAAGGAACGAACCACACCAGAGCACTGGCTAACCACCCGCATTGGTACTTCTAAATGTAAGATCAAATACTTAATGCATTTTTATTAAGCACTTCTATCCCTGTTAAGCTCTATGCGCTTTACAACCACAAATGTGAGGCAGCGTGGTGGAATCAGGCTTTCGTCAATTTTTGGGCATGTAGAGTTATTGGTATCATCTTAAAGCTTGTTCACTTGTCTTTATTTAGATGAAAAAAATATCCATTTATCTTGAATATAAGTCGAGATATTTGCGAATGAAGGAGGTGGGGGTCACTTGTTTTCAGAGGTAAAATTAATGAGAATATGGCCGCCAAAGATTAGTTATTTCCTTATCTTAAAAGTCCGTGGTAACTGAAAATTTACATTTTCTGTGCCTTTAATCAACGTTTTTAAGAAAAATCCACACAGAAATGAGTTCTTTAATGGGTATGAAAGGTGTTGAGCCAAAAAACAAAAATTTGATAAAAATTGACAAACCTGCGCAAAAATGAAAGTTTCTTCACTTTAATTATTTTGACGAGAGCCTGATTCCACCACGCTGCCTCACAAATGTATTAGCACCCCACCGGACTCAAGAACACGACTCAAAAATATTCCCAGTTTCCCGGGAAGCATACAGTGCAAGCTGTGGATTACATGCACTAAAACATTACAAACTGACATCTTTGCTGCCTATGGCCGGGTACTCATTCCCACCTGGGTGAAGTGAGGAAAATTCATATAAGTTCCTTTCCCAAGGACACAAAGTCAGGACCCTGACAGAACTTGTACCCAGGACTTTACGGTTGAGAGGACCGGAGCCTGACTTTATGGACAAAGAAAGCAAAGTTTTCATGAACTTCTACATCTGCTGTTTGTTTTTGTTTTTGAAAAGTGTTTTACGGCGCTCGCAACTGCATAAGGTCATATGAGCGCGCGGGACACACCTAATATTTTCAGTTGGTAGGAAATTTTGAATTTTTGCCCGGGTGGCGGCTGAAGCCGACTCTTATCGATTTAGCCCACCAAAGGATCTTTAACGCCCTTGTCCGAGAAGGCTAGGTGTAGATCTTTCCTACCAGAAGATCAGGGGTGTGGCAGAAACCCAGCAGTAAGGAGGAGCCAAGGAGTAGCAGTAGAAAGGCTGCAGAAAGAGTCAGGAGCCCAGAGGAGGGGGCAAAGGAGGTGAGGGGGTGGGGGCAGAAAGTGGAAATGAAAGCAGACAACAGAACATTGCTAGAGAGCAGGAAAGGAGGTGAAAGGAGACAATTTTAGAGAAGAAAATTTTTCGGTCGCTACCCGGATTCGAACCCGGGACCTTTGAATGAGAGGCCAACACCTTAACCTGTAGGCCATGAGAGCCCCCTCTACATCTGCAGTTTTCCCTGTCATCCCTGGGTCCCTGTTCAATACGAAATCCATCTGGACTGAAAACTCTAACGCATTATAAGAAAGTAATAATGATAAGGATGATATTAATAGTAATCATAATAAAAACAACAACAACAATAATAATATTTAGTAATAATAATAATGATAACAACAATAATTATTATGATAACGAAAATAATTATAATAACAATAACAATAATAACAATTGTAAAATTCACCAGTCAAAGTCTGACAATGACCTGTAATCTGCAGAGAATGTTTCTTTCATGTCATGCCAAACAAGAAATAAGTGTTAATAATAACTTGTGGACTTTGCTGTGGCCAATGAGATGAGACTAATTATAGCAGTGAAGAGTTCGCTACAGTTCGAGTATTTAACAGCTTCATTTCCACGGGTGGGCATACGTATAACATATCATAGAATAACACAAAAGGTGTTCATATCGCATTCACAGTCTGAGAGTACTTACATTTCGCAACATGACCTCAGACTTTTTCAGATCGAAATTTCGAGCTGTAAAAAAAAAATGGTGAAAAGACATAAATTACAGACAGAATGGTCGACAATTTTGAGCTGTAAAAAAAAATTGTGAAAAGACAAAAATTACAGACGTTATGGTTGACAACGTTGAAGCATTGAAGCAGCCAACCTCCTATATTGTCTAAATCATTTCGAAGGATGCTTTAAATACTACAGATACAACACACTTATCATATAACAGAACACATTCCAACATTTTAAAAAACATGCCTTATCATATATAGTACACGACCAGACCACACAACACACTTCCCTATAAGACACAGTGGACAACTTTTTAAAACTAAAAAACAAATTCTATCCAAGCATCCGGTCAAAATCGATGGTGGGCACTGATCAAGGATTCCCCCCCAACCTCCACAAACATTTTTCGGGGGCTCTCGTGGCCTAGAGGTTAAGGTGTTGGCCTCTCACTCAAAAGGTCCCGGTTTCGAATCCGGGTAGCGACCGAAAAATTTTCTTCTCTAAATTTGTCCCCTTTCACCTCATTTCCTGCTCTCTAGCAATGTTCTGTTGTCTGCTTTCGTCTCCTCTTTCTGTCCCCACCCCCTCACCTCCTTTGCCCCTTCCTCTGGGCTCCTGATTCTTTCTGCAGCCTTTCTACTGCTACTCCTTGGCTTCTTCTTACTGCTGTCTTTCAGCCACACCCCTGATCTTCTGGTAGGAAAGATCTACACCTAGCCTTCTCGGACAAGGGCGAAAAATCTCGGAGGACCCGTGTGCAAGTTGCGCACGTTTAAAGATCCCTTGGTGGGCTAAAATCGATAAGAGTAGGCTTCGGCCGCAACCCGGGCAAAATTCAAAATTCCCTACCAACTGAAAATATTAGGTGTGTCCCGTTCGCTCATATGACCTTAAGCAGTTGCGAGCGCCGTAAAACACTTTACAAAAACCAAAAACAACATTTTTCTGCTTTCAATAAACTGAAGCTCTTCAAAGCAAACCTGCAACAAATGTGCAAGAATTGATCAAGAACGTCATAACTCCCACTGATTGAACTCTCTGAATCCCACCAGACGCTGTCAGTGAGCCTCCGACGGTAAGAACTCAGTTCCCCATTGGACGCTGGGGGCGTGCAATGCTAGAGACAACTGTTTCGTTTCATTTACTGCAAGTTTTTGCTTGTTTTTCGGAACTATTCCCGATCCAAGTTTTTTCGTAATCGCTAAACCTTTGTTTTCGCAATTTAGAAGTTGGAGGCAAGCTTTTGGAGTTACAATAAGACACCAGGTTTACGTGACTGTAGAAAAAACTGCGGGAGACGGTGGACAAAAAATCAGGATTTAAAGACTGAAGGGGCTTCATTCTCATGATTATTCCCAAATATCATTCTCATGATTATTCCCAAATATCATTCTCATGATTATTCCCAAATATCATTCTCATGATTATTCCCAAATATCAATATTTCTGCAGCATTGGGAAGTCCTTGAGGTACAATATTAGAAAACAGAGAGTGCATATTATTTTTCCAACACAAACACCAACGACCATACAAAGGCTAAGACCATCAAATATGTTTCAGAGATATGATTTTTACACACTGGCTGGCAGCTATAATCTATATAAATACAGTCCACAACATGACAGAAGTCTCACCTCGTAACCATCGCAGAAAATAGTGGTCATCAAAGTGCGGGCGAGTAATGTCCTTGACATTTTCTTTGAACTGAAAAATTAAACAATATACAAAACAGACTTTAACTTGATGAACAGACAATGATTCTTATTAACAAAATGAAAGAGTCTACATCCACCCACTACCCCAGTAGGTGTTTTTACGCCATCATCAACCCAATTTCAATCATATATAGGAGGCAGGCTTCCAACCCTGCCTGTCAGGGCCAACCCAGGCCAAGGGGGATACACATATTTCAGTTTAACTCATTCGCTACGCCGAGCCGCGGGGGGGCGGCGCAGCGCAGCTAAAGTGCCGTCAGTACGCTAAGCCGCCCCCGGCGGCTTGAGAACCGATCTTCAATTTTAGCTCAGATTCTATTCCAATCCACATATCCATGTTAAAATAAAGGTCATAATATAATGTTGACTTCCGGGTCAAGCAATTCCACTGAAAATAGGAAATTTAGATTCAGTTTTGAAACGCGATTTCGTAGTTTATTTGACTTTGTTTTATCGCGATGCCAAAATTATAGCCCGGACACCAGTCTTAGTAATTTTACACAACAAAGTCTATCATTATTTTGCCCACTAAAGAAATGTAGGACTCTTTTTTATAATATTGATACGATTGGGCTCATATTGCCAGTGCACTGTTATTGAGAAATCAATATTTTTGAGTGCTAGATCTAGGTCTAGATCTTAATTGTCAAAATATTTTTTTTCTCCCCAAAATCACTACTTTTTTATGAAATTACACAAAAAGTGCCACTCAAGACATGTATAGGTTTATTCCAAATGCAATTCTGAATAATTCCATATAAGATACGAGTGGCTTTTTTTTCTGTTTGTGATCGTTTTTCAAGATTATAAAAATGTTTGGGTTTTTTTTCAATATCGGAAGTTATGTTCAAAATGTACAAATATTATGGAATGTAGGTAAACAACTGCAAACTTTTCAATATTTTCCAGTTCTATATTCATTTATGGTTATTTTGATGTATCATTTGACTAGGTGCAAACATATTATTTGAGTTTCACCAAAGATTATTAATTTTTTTATTTTCAAATGTTATCCGCATCCAATCAAAATTGTGTTGCATAATCATCTCTTACAGGAACCAAAGTTAAAAAATACATAAATGAACATTACAGATGTATTCTACAAACCATACAGAAAATGTTGGTATATAATGTGTTGATATTTATTTGAATTTGTGGCCCAAAAGACCTTTTAACTGCCCACTAGTCATCATCTCATTCGCCCTCCCGAAAAAAAAATCGTCTACAAGCCGAAAATAATACGTAGCGAATGAGTTAAGCCGACTCAACTGTATATCAATCAATTAGTTTTGTATCTTCATACCAACATTAACATACCAGTGCCAAACATGGTCTCTGAACAAGGCACAAGAAAGAAAAATCAATGCATGTGAAATGAGGTGTCTCCGCAAAACCATCAACGTCACAAGAAGAGACCGCATAAGAAACAAAACCATACGTCTACAAACTGGAATACCACTAGTAGTAAAATTCATAGAGCGTCAAAAAGTCAAGTGGTTTGTACATCGAACCAGAATGCCCCAGAAACAACTAGCAGGTAGAGCTTACAGCACCCGAGAATCCGGCTTTAAATGAAGAGGAAGACCAAGAAAGACCTGGCTGGATGGGGTTAAAAAGGTCCTGGAACAACATGACATATTTATCACAGACGCTACACACCTAGCACAGGACCGAAACCTGCACCTCCCCTCCACATCCTAAGGATACCAGAGGAAGAGGGGAAAAAGTAAAGTTTTGTATAGGGGTAAGCAAAAACTCTCCTCACCTCAGCCAAAGTCGCCTCCTGCTTAGGGCTGAGGTTCCCCACGTGGCCACTCATGTTTGATCCTTCCTCCTTGACAAGGTTTGTGTGTGTGAGCTTGTGTGTGGGCTTGTGTGTGTGGGATCGCCCGGCTGACACTGATCACACGAGGACTCGCACTCTGTCGACAAAAACACATTTTTGTCATATAATCCCAAAATATGGAAAGCATAGATTCTCACAGTATCATTCTAAAAGAATGAAAACTTACAGAAAGAATTATTTCTTCTACATTTTCGGTCCATTTTAAGTAACCCATTTATTTGAAAGACGCAAGAGGTCCTCTTCCTAGATGCTTTACAGTTCAACATGTCACTACCAAACACATTTTTGTCATATCCCAAAATATGGAAAGCGTAGATTCTCACACTATCACTCTAAAAGATTGAAAACTTACAGAATGAATTATTTCTTACTTCTACATTTTTGGTCCAGATGAAGGAACCCGTTTATTTGAAAGATGCAAGAGGTAATCTACTATGCTTCACAATTCACATGCCACTACAATTATAATTATAAGGCTTACCGTTAATCCTAAAGTGTAACAGAATTTTATCTGACCTGTTTATGAGAAAGGCTTTGTCGTTTACTACAATAATTACATAATAAGTCAAGAGGCTCTTATTGGAAGCCTTGACATGTGCTGGTGAAGTAGACAATCTTGAAGTAGAGATAAGAAACACTGACATAATCATTGCATAACAATTAACGTCAAAAGGTAATCTGAATCTTTCACATCTGCACTGGTACGGGGAACGACCCATTGGCTCACAAGGACAGATCCCGTAACACAGGGGTCAGCGACCTTTATGGCCAACTAGGCCACATGATTAGAGCTCAGAGACGGCCCACTAGGCATCAAAGAAAGGACTTAAAATCATGCAAAATTAGCAGTGCATGTCTGTATTGGCAATGACAACTATTATATGGACATCAAATTGACCTTGATTTAAAAAAAAAAAAATTGGCCTAGAATATTAGCAAGTCATAGAAGTAGTGTATGTGTAATTAAACTTTTAAAACAAACGATTAACGTGATGGGGTGATGCTAGGGTTGTCAGCCTCAAATGACTGATCTGTAGGTTGGTCTCTCCTCAAAAGCAGTCAAGGAGTGTCTTTTTACAACAAACGAAACAAAAAGCATGCATGATAGTCGTAGCTAATTAGGCCAGACTTTATAGTAAACAAGTAGAGATGCTCACTAGGTCAGAAATGCTGGAACTGACCCAAAACTGTGTACTCGTTCCGTTACATGGACACGATAAATCCAGTGCTAGTTTGACAATCTCGGCATCTGTTTGTTTCGCGGCAAGTTTGACAGAAGTGTTTAAAGTTTAAGAATAAAATGAAGGTCAAGAACAGTCACTTGAGCTCTGTGTGCAGGTCTAAAAGTTATATTTTTAAACCCAAAAATTCTACAAATTGAGTACTGAGATTTTAATTATCTCCCCCTCTCCCCCAAGTGGACAAAAAACTAGTAATTATAAATCGGCCAGCTCTATTCTCTGAACGCTCGGGAAAATAAACTTGAACTCTATTTCAATGAAGGGTTTCCGCTCTCGAGATTTGTTGATAATTTGCGAATGGCATGGCCTGCGTGCGTGTGTGTGTGTGTGAGTGAGTGTGCGTATAGTATGTGTGTGAGTGAGTGTGCGTGTGTGAAAGGTGTGAACGGGGCGGGAGGGCGGGGAGGGATTTTTTTTTGCTTACATGAAAGGATTTTAGTTTTTGCCTTAGGGGTGACTAAATGCAAAATAGGTTACAGCCAAGGTCGAGCAGTCTTGTTTTCTCGCAGTACCTTTTGAAGGCATTTTCAAATGAAGTATAGTCTGGGAACGTTGCCCCAACCACAACTGAAGTATCTGAATATTCAGACATTTATTTAAAGACGTCTTGCTCTAGAAATTGAATTCGATTTAAAAAATGCTTCTTCCCAGTCCTCGCAGTAAAGGCAGAATAACGAAAGATGACACCTAATTCTCGCAAAAAACAAAAAATCACAAGAACGGAAACAGTCAGGAGAAATAGAGATCAAGTTTTTATTTTCACAAGCGTTCAGAGAAATAGGTTACCACTTCGTTATTAATTATGTAGACTAAATAAAGTATATAAAGGGCCCACCCAGTGTGATCTGACAGAGATATATGGTAAACACAGAGCATATGAGTCAACTCACTCTCTGCGGGGAGTTTCTATGTATTTCAGATTGAATATTATCAAATTATTTTGTTCTGGAGTAAAACACTCTCTTACATTACATAGGGTTTTTTTTTTACTCATGCACCGTCTCATGTCCATATGTATTAAATACTTTTCTTTTCTACAGTAGCATTTTTCATGCTGAACACGAAATAGCCTTCATTTTTGCCACAAATCAAACATCAATATATATATATATATATATATATATATATATATATATATATAAAACTCAATAACTATTGATTTTTATTTTAATAAATCCTTAACATTTGACTTTAATTTAACAACATGGGGGGGGTTTCAGGGGGGCATGCCCCCCGACCTAAAAAGAATCATGCCCCCCTGCATTTCACAATGATTTGATTGATATTTTGGCAATTAGGATTGATATCAGATATTACTTGAAAACAATTGATTTGCAAGGGTTTTTTTAGTGACCATACATGTGTTCTGCAACAGCAAAAATGGCAGTGTAGCCCTCAAATCAGTGCATGTGTGTGGGTGCATAATTTTATATAGATATCTAGATATATCTAGATTAGATCTAGATTTAGGCTTACCTAAAAATTCACCCATTGTTTAGGCCAACAACAATTACAATATATGATAAAAGACTACTAATTAGAGTCTACCCCTAGATACCCATAAGCCATGTCCAAATCACAGCACCGTTTTTGTTTGTTGTTTTTTTATTCGGAAGGGGGTGGGGTGGGGTAAGGGGTCCCGGCTTTTTAGGTTCAGTAATCAGTTCTGATAGTCATCATAATCATAGTCATCAGCAGTCAGAGTAGCCTCCCTACACTCTACAGTCTACAGTAGTAGCAGACAGTACAGTGCAGCGACTACTAGATCTAGATCTAAATCTAGAATCTAGGTTGACAAGTCTCCAACCAACAATATATAGATCTATAGGCCTATATAGAGAGAGAGAGAGAGAGAAAAATCTAGATTCTAGGCAAAGACATTCAAAGCTAGGCAACGCTATTATTCACGCATACCAAGATACCCTGATGAAATCAAATTCTGATCACACAAGATGAGGTGATTTTCCTATGATTTCACAATCTCTGTGTTTAGCCTACCTTCCGCTGCTGAATAAACACAACAAACAGCCGATCGCTCGGTGAGATAAAAATTGAGACCGTATAATTTTGCGAACAATTCGGTACCAACTACTTTCGGTACTCTCACCGGAGGGACCATAGGCCTACAAATAAAAAGACAATACTGTTTGTCTGAAGAGCAATTGGGTGGGGCGTTTTTTCGAGCAGGTCAAATAAAATTTTGAGTTATCTAATTTCTTTTTCTTTTTCTTTCTACAGACAGAAGGTTAATAAAAATGGGTTGGCCGTTTGTTGATACATGCATAGATCTATCTCTACAAGAGACAAAAGCTAGCAGATAGCAACCTCCTTCCCAAGCAGCCTACTTTTTTGATGACATGATGTTCGAATACATTTATTTGTGTAGTCGAGTCCCGTCGAGTCAGGTCGGTGCTCATTAGCACGATCGATGGGTTCGGTTCGGTTCGGTTTGGTAAGCGGGCCACTGAACAATTATTTGTCTTCTGTGGGCGGGGCTAGCCGGATTGAGGGCGCAAAGCGACCAGCGACCCAAAAATCCGATCGCTCGACTCGTGGCCTAAAAAACAATGCTGCCAGTCGGCCGATCGATTTATATTAGAGAACCGATCACTCCATTAGGCATTGGGTATGACAAGAATGATGATTATAGCAGAAAAAACTCTGACAATGTAATTATGTACAGTCGAACCTGTGTAAGACGGCCACCCATTGTCAAGGAGGAAAGTGGCCGTATAATGCAGGTGGCCATCTTAGGCAGGACTGATCAAGATGAAGAAAACAAACCATTCCTTTCTGAGGTCCCAACCGATGGTAGCTGCTTTGCTGTTATTGTTGTTGTTTTCGCTAGTTTTTTTTTTCTTTTTTGTTTTTTTCTTTTGTTGCTGCTTTTGTGCAAGGGTGACAATAATACGAAGTGTGTCAGACAAGGAGTAAGAGGACTGAGTGCCATGGTAAAAAAACAACAAAAAACACATGGGTTGTCACCTCTCGGAGAACGAGCGACGCTTCTGCCGCAAGTTCATGTTGATGTCCATTGTTACTTTGTTACAGACTGGGTAAACAGTAACCACTCATCTCACTTACGATTTGTGTATGAGTTCTGGGCAGGGCTTATGGGTTATAAGGGATCACATGCTTCCCTCATCAGCAGTTGAAAATGTATTGTTACCTATTGGTCAACAGTGGGAGGGGCCTACGCAACATGATCGGTTGGTGGGACTACCTAACAACAACGACAGATGATTGAATTATGACGGCTCGCCCACAACGCCAGGGGCCAATGCATGATTTAAAACAAATCGTAATGGAGTCACTAAGGTGGCCGTCTAAGACAAGTGTTATTGCTTTTTGTGATAGGGGTTGTGTGTTAAAATAAGGTGGCCGCGGCCAAGTTCGACAGGTGCCCGTTTTACACAGTTATATTATATAGAAAAAACGCAAGGGGGGAATGGAAAGTGGCCGTTTGTACAGGTGGCTGTCTTATAGAGGTGGCCTTCAGGGCAGGTGCGTCTGTAACTTGGTGTAAACAGAGGCTACAATGGTTGCTGCGCAGCGTTGCTCTACATAAAACTTATCATTCATTGAACTCTATAATTTCTTGTTTCCTTCAGTAATAGCTTCAAGTTGCGACAGCTGCACCATTGAAACAAGGTAGCGCCTACAGATCTTGGAACAAATCACGTAACTGAAATATACACCACCATAAATGGTGATTTTTAAAAAAAGCTTGCCCCGAGCCTAGAAAGACTGCAATAAACATTAACAAATTTGCGTGGTGATGAGTAAAGAGAGACCAAAACAATCTCTCTATTGCGACTATCACGGCATATCACTTCGCCTAATACATGTTCCGGTAACTACCTATAAATAGATTGAAGTTGAAGATTGACCAAAGTCAAAGGTTGGGATGTGGCTGACGATTCAGGATGTGGCTGTGGATTGACGAAAGGAAAAAGCGTCCCGCCGTCCCGAACCAGACGGTCTTGTTCATTCCACGTCGGGCGATAGGGGAGGGGGGGGGGTAATTTTTGTAGACCTTGTCTCTATAAATTCTTTCCTTCCCCGCCACGGTCAGTTGGTGTTTGTCTCGAGAGTATTTTACGGCGCTCGCAGCGACGAAAACAGGCGACAGAACATGAGAGCAGGAAAGGAGGTAAAAGGAGAACATTTTAAAGAGGAAAATTTTCTGTCGCCGTCAAGTTTCGAGCCCGAGATCTATTGAATGAGAGTCAAAAAAAGTAACCCCCCCCCCCCCCCCCCCGCCTTTCCTAACCACAACAAGAACAACTTTCTCCCCCTGCTATACGCCATGTTCTAGACTGATGTTGTCTGGCCGTCGGGTACCGGTGGCGGTATCGGCGCAACAGCCGGCAAAAAATCGTAGGGTCCTGTCTGATCGTCGGGCCCGACGCCTGTGTGGGTATCTAGCCTGGTAGCCTTATACGCACGGGGTGCCAATTACGGCTGGGATCAGCCGCTCGGGCCGATCGTCCGACTCGATCGCCTCAAAAACAAACGTGTTTGTTTTCAGTTTCAGGCGATCGAGTCGGGCGATCGGCCCTATCCAGCTGTAGTGGGCACCCCGTATTAGGCTTACAGGTCAAATTTTATGATAAAATAGAGGCCATAATTTGATACCGTGTGAACCAGAACTGCCATTGGCCGACCCGAGTCCGATCATGCAAATCGGATTCATTCGAGTTCCCGACTATAAGGTTTTCGATTCCACCACAAACAACGATATTCGGCGCTCTGATTGAAAAGTGACGCCATATTGTTGGGATAGTATTTTATACTGCTAGTAGTAGATCTCTCTACGTTTTCATGGTTGTAACGTTCAAACGGACCCGCCCAAAAGGCAAGGCTTGGTTGGTACTAAATACCACTTTTCTTTTTGAAGCCGGTTGCTGGTGAAATGGTTCAGTATTGTTGTGTTGCCTTGTGCAACAACAAGGCCAAAGCTGGATCTGACATCTTATTGCATAGGTTAGTATACTTCGCAAACACCTCTGTTGTAGATCATCATCATGTCAGGCTAGGCCATCAATGCCATCATGTCTTAGGACAGGAGGCTAGATTACGGTCCCAGAAGTTGAAATCCTACAGAAAGAACCTAATCTAGATCTAGATCTATAGGGTAACTGGGCACGTAGTCTCAGTATCTATGTACACACGGTAACCGGGTGCTTAGTTTCGGAGGCCCCTTCTAGATCTAGATCTAGATCTAGATCTAGATCTAGATCTAGTAGGTGCACGGTATAAATTGCTTCGCTCCCTTCATCCCTGCTTTCCTGTTGTATTTACTTGCATTGAAGGCCACCTCTATTCTCACCCGTCTTTGTGTTATTGTAAGTTAGTGTAAGACCACCTGTTTACTGTTTAAGATTGACCTTGTGGCCTTCTTCGTCTTCGACAATTTCAACTGTACTCTACTGGACACACGGAATTGCTGTGTTGGTCTCAATAGATCTAAATGAATGTGCACCTCAAAGGGTCACTGAGACTTTTATTTAGACTTTTAAAAACAGCTTCTACTGTGAAATATTGGACAAGCTGATCAAATGACAAAATATGTTGAGGCATCGTGGTGAAATCAGGCGCTCGTCAAAATAATGGAATCCATCCAAGAAACAGACATTCTCCTGCCAGTTTGGCAATTTTTTACAAATTTTTTATCTTTGGCTCAACACTTTTTATATGTCCGTATTACAACATATTTCTATGCGAGTTTACTCAAAAACGTTGATTAAAGGAACAAAAAAAATGGAAATTTTTAGTTTTCAAGGACTCTTCAAGCTATGAAGTTACTGAACTTCGGCGGCCATTTTCTCGCTAATTGTACCTCAGAAACCAAGTGACCCCCACCTTCTTCAATTGCAATTTTATATCTTGACTTCTATTCAAGATGGGTAATGTTTTCATCTAAAGCAAAGCAAATGAACATGTTTACAGAAGATGCCAATAACTGCAGATGCCCCAAAATTAATGAGCTCCTGATTCCACCGTGTCATGATACATATTATTTTTATGGAATTTGTCATTTCAGTCATCATGTTTATTATGAAGGCAGGGCTTTCATGCTCAGACTCCCAGCTCTTATCAACAAATACTTGATTTGTCTTTTTTTTTTTAGGTTCCCCCGAAGAGATGGCGCAAAACGGCAGAAGTGGGCGGAGAAGGTGGGGAGGAAGGCGAAGGATGGCTCTCTGTGGCAGCCCACTGGGAACCATTACATCTGCAGTGATCACTTCCGACCGAGTGACTACAGTTGGGAGTCAGGCAAACAGAAACTGAAGAAAACGGCCATCCCTTCTCGCTTCCCAACACTGGCCCGCAGAGGGAGGAAGCCACAAGTGCGTTGTAACATCCTTTTATTTCAATTGCTGGTTTTGTTGGTGTTGTTGTTGCTGTCGCTTCAATTTTTCCCTCCCAAGCACAATTTCCAATTAATTTCCCTAATTGAAGAGTGGTTTTCCAAAACTCTGTTTTGACGAGCGCCTGATTTCATCACGACTCTTAACACATACTTTTGTATTATTAGACCTGCATGTTTGCCGACAATCATCTGAAATCCGACAATCGCGACGCGACCCGCGAGGCGGCCGATGTTATCGCTAGGCCCACCTGTATCAGTCAATGTGCGAAGTGCGAGGCCTGGCTCGTTTTCGTTTTCGTGCCGACCACAGACTGCCGAGCTCGAAGCGGCCATTTTGAATTTCATTTTGTTGACAAATTCAATTGTTCAGATCGTGTGGATTCATTCCAGTCCGACTCACTTAGATAATAGAATCTAGATCTAGATCTAGATCTAGATTTATATAGATCATTATAGACCTCAATGGAGGATTCATATTCCAATTCTATTTTGTCAAACTCTATCATAGGTTGTGCTGTAATAATATTAATGTTGGTAAAAGGCATTTCATCAGGTGCGTGAATTATATTTATATAAATTTATTTAGAATCTAGACTCAGCTGAGCCCCTCTGTTCAGAATCGGATGCGGATTTCTAGTTCCAAGCCTATTCCTAGATCCTATTCACTTGTTCTACAAGATCTAGATCTAGATTTATTTAGTTTACTAGATCTATATGGAGGATTCATATTCCAATTCTATTGTGTTATTGTATCAAACCCTATTACTATTATTATAGATCTAGCAATATATGTAGATTTAGACCATTATATTATGCTCCTTGTAAGCCTTGTTTGTTTTGGAGTGTGGTTTTTTAATTTTAATTTTTTTTTTCATTTTGGACTTTTGCTGGCCTTTTCACATGAGGCTCGTTGCAGGTTCTTTTTTGGGGTAGGCCTAGGGGTAGGGGTAGGGTTGGGTCTCTTCTTTGTTGTGTTTGTGTTGGGGTGGTCGCTCGTTACTCGGAAGTCCTTCCTTATGACACCCACAAAAGCTCTTGGGGGGGGGGGGGGGTGCGCAAAATTTTCAGACAATCTGGTTGAGGCTCACATGCATATTATGTACCGGTATGCGTGTAGCATTGTATTTAAATCAGGTGCTCGTCAAAACTGACTTAGAGTTTTGGAAAACCACTCTTCAATTGGGTAACAGTACAAATACTCATTGATTGGCTAAGCAAGACCTCTCTCTCTCTCTCTCTCTCTCTCTCTCTCTCTCTCTCTCTCTCTCTCTCTCTCTCTCTCTCTCTCTCTCTCTCTCTCTCTCTCTCTCTCTCTCTCTCTCTCTCTCTCTCTCTCTCTCTCTCTCTCTCTCTCCCTCTCCCTCTCCCTCTCCCTCTCTCTCTCTCTCTCTCTCTCTCTCACCCCCCTTCCCCCCCCCCCTCCATGTTCTCTGTATGCCGTGTCATGTGTCGGTTTTCACTGTTCTGTCTGTATGCTACATCACTATGATTGTGTTCATCATTGTTGGCGGGTGCTCTGGTGTGGTTTGCTTCTTCTTCCCTATCAAACATCTATCGTCCTTATCTCCCCTTCTTCATTTTCATGTTTGTTACTCTCTTGTAACACCTCTAATCTTCTGGCGCTCATATGACCTTTATGCAGCTGCGAGCGCCGTAAAACCTCTACTGAAACTAAAATCTCAATTTATGGTTTTCCTTTCTGCATCCCCAGGCGAGTGGAGCGGTGAACACTTGCGCGGCACTGGGCTGCACGACCGTTCGAAATAAGACCAAGGCCTCGGCAAAAAAGCAGAAGACAGACTTACGGTTCCACAGTTTTCCGAGAACCAACCCGTCACTGAAGAGGAAGTGGCTGGCGGCCATGGGCATCAAGGAGTACCTGAGCTCCGACACAGCTTTTGTGTGCGGGAAACATTTCAAGGTCACCGACTACGAGGACAACAATGTTGCGGAGGACCTCCGGACAAACGCTGTCCCTTCTGTCTTCCCTGACAATGAGGAAGAGGAGCAGGAGGAGGAAGAGGAGGAGGAGGAAGAGGAAATGACTGCAGCCTCGGAAGATGACCAGCGTGCCGCCAGTGAGTCGAACGACGACCAGCCTGTTGTCAGTGACTCGGACGATGACCCCGATTACGTCACCGGGGAGGAAGTTGCGCCAGTCACGAGGAGAAAGAGGGGCCGGGGCAGAAAGGCGAAAATGCCAATTAAAATAAAGAGGACCAAGCCTGTCAAAGAAAAGAAAGCTCCGGAGGTGAAGCGGGCCGTGCCTCTCGACCACTCGTACCCGCGTGCCGGGAAGCGAGCGCGTGTGGTGGATACCGACTTGGATCTCCTTCCCGTGGGGGATCTGGAAGGAGGGCAAGAGAAGAGCATCTTTCCGCGTCGTGGACACGGCAAGAAGGAGTTTCTGGGCGGCACACTGGTGCAGCAGTTCCGCACGGTGCGGCAGCAGAAGGAGGCGGGAAAGACGCTGGTCAAAAATCTCAAGGTCGTCATGGAAAAAGGGCTGCTGAGCCCGGCTGACTTCGCGCTGATGACGGGGGCCTTCGGGTTCTTGCCGTCCAACTACTCCGCGCAGATGCTCCTGGAAGTCCCAGCCGGAGAAATCCCGACGCCAGAATTGGTCGAGCTGCGGAATTTTTGTGTCGCTCTACAGTGCGTGTCGCCCGCGGCGTATGAACATCTCCAGAACCCGTTGAGTCTGCCCGAGCCCGCGGTTCTGAGGCCCTGGCAGTGTTGGTCAGACGGTCGCCCGGGTTTCCTCACACAGCAGCTGTCTTTTGCCAAGGAGTTTGCCTTCTCTTCTCCCTCCTCCCCCTCATCCTCCTTGTTCGCACTGCTTGTACAAGAGACGAAACTCCAGGCCAAAGTCAGCTGGTGCATGAAGTCTCAGAGCTACTGGGGTCACAGCGACCTGGGGTGCGGCCCCGTGGAGGGAAGTGCGGCAGTCAGCGCCCTCACGCTCATGCTGGTGTCGCTCCAGGGCTGCGGCAAGTTCCCACTGGCCTACTTCCTCACGGGCCAGGTGAGCAGTGGACTGGTGGCCAGCCTAGTGTCGCAGGCTCTGCATAGCACGGCCGAGGAAGGACTGCTGGTCAAGGCCGTGGTCACCGACGGCCAGCTGGAGAGCCAGAAGGCGGCCGCTCACCTGGGCTTCTCCCTCAGCCCCGCGGGCCCGACGTGCTTCGTCCCTCACCCGCACAGAGACATGAGCCAACACAAGCTGTGGTTCCTGTGTGACCCGGCACTCACGCTGGCCCGAACCACAGACCTCTTGGCTGACAGGGGCACCATCTACAACCGCACGCAGAACGGCGACCTGGCTGTCTCCTGGCGGTTCATCGATTCCCTCCGTCGGCACCAGGCCGGTTCGCGCCCTCTAGAAAATAAACTGTGGCTCGGAAAACAAGAGCCGAAGCAGCGAACAGCCCCCCTGTCTGCATCAGTGGCTTCAGCCCTGGACCGACTGCGAGAGGAGGAAGGATTGGCGCAGTTCCAAGGATGTGAAGAAACGTGTCGCTTCATCCGCGTCATCGACCTTCTATCCAGCTGCCTGATGGCCAGGAACCCGTTTGCCACGGGTGTCCACGCCCCCTTGACCAGCGAGAACCGTTCCCGCTGGCACATGTTCCTCACGGAAGCGATCGGCTATCTGCAGTCGCTGTACGACGATGCCAAGACCTCGCTGTCCTTGGCAGACAGGACGGGGGCAGTGACCGGACTTATTGTCACGGCCACCTCGCTGCGGGATCTCACGGCAGAGCTCCTAGAAGATGATCACATGACTTATGTGCTGCCCTACAAGTTGTCCCTGGAGCACACCCGCAACTTCTTCCGCAAGGTTTGGACTAAATGTCTGTCTGTGGGATCATATATATAATAAATATACATACTGGAATGTGATGTAGAAGTGTACAGGGGTACTGAAACATACATACACACACACGCACACACACACACTCAGAGACACTGTGACACACACACACACACACACACACACACACACTCAGAGACACTGTGACACACACGCACACACACACGCACACACACACGCACACACACACGCACACTCAGAGACACTGTGACACATACACACACATGATACGTATACACGCTTAATCGATAACACAATTACATCATGGATAGAGATGCACAAGACAAGTGCGTTCACATGCCCTTTTATATATGCTGTGTGTTACCGTGCTGCCTGGGTTCACTGCTCTCTTGAATTCATCAATGTTTCACAGTATGCCCGGGAGCTCTCGTGGCTTAGAGGTTAAGGTGTTGGCCTCTCATTCAAAAGGTCCGGGGTTCGAATCCGGGTAGCGACCGAAAAATTTTCTTCTCTAAATTTGTCTCGTTTCACCTCATTTCCTGCTCTCTAGCAATGTTCTGTCGTCTGCTTTCGCCTCCTCTTTCTGCCCCACCCCCTCAAATCCTTTGCCGCTTCCTCTATGCTCCTGATTCTTTCTGCAGCCTTTCTACTGCTTCTCCTTCGCTTCTTCGTACTGCTGTCTTTCAGCCACACCCCTGATCTTCTGGTTGGAAAGATCTACACCTAGCCTTCTCGGAAAAGGGCAAAAAATCTCGGAGGGCCCGTGTGCAAGTTGCGCACATTAAAGATCTCTTGGTGGTCTAAAATCGATAAGAGTAGGCTTCGCCTCCACACGGGCAAAATTCAAAAATTTCCTACCAACTGAAAATATTAGGTGTGTCCCGCGCGCTCATATGACCTTATGCAGTTGCGAGCGCCTTAAAACACTTTACAAAAAGCAAAAAAAATCCACACACTCAGAGACACTGTGACACACATGCACACACACTCAGAGACACTGTGACACATACACACACATGATACGTATACACGCTTAATCGATAACACAATTACATCATGGATAGAGATGCACAAGACAAGTGCGTTCACATGCCCTTTTATATATGCTGTGTGTTACCGTGCTGCCTGAGTTCACTGCTCTCTTGAATTCATCAATGTTTCACAGTATGCCCGTGGGTGGTTGGCGGGTGCTCTGGTGTGGTTTGCTCCTTCTTTCCTATCAAACATCTATCGTCCTTATCTCCCCTCCTTTTTTATGTTTGTTACTCTCTTGTAACACATCTAATCTTCTGGCGCTTATATGACCTTATGCAGTTGCAAGGGCCGTGAAACCTCTACTAAAACAGTAAGCCCAAAAAATGTGCCCAGGGGGTCAAACTCAATCACATTGGGAGTTAAACACCAGCACCTGTAGTAGTTGACCTTTGTGTGTACTGACTGACCCTGACTGACTTCTCTGTGTACTGACTCACCTCTGTGTGTATGTGTGTGCGCATGTGTGTATGTGTACTAAATGACCTGTATGTACGTCTGTATCTCCACTAGGTCGCCCGGCAAGGAAACTGGCGAGGGTCGCCCACCGCCGCAGAGTTCTGCACAGCCATGAAGTCTCTAGCATCGCGACGTGACCTTGACCTCACACTGTTTGCAGACACGGACACCGTTTTCTCAGCGGACCCTGAGGTCAAGCTGTACAGCGCCGGGGGAGAGAGCCGGGAGGTGGCCGGCGGGGAGTTTGAGTTCGAGTCTCAAGCGGAACAGCTCTCCGCGGCGCTGCGAGTTTCTGACCCGGACTGGCTGCGGCCGTCTCTTCTGCTCACTGCTCGTTACATCTGCCGCTGTTTGCGAGAGACCGTCGTCTGTGCTCGCTGTCTGGAGACCTTACAAGCCAGTGGTTTGGAGCCAACAGACGTGGCGACTGGCTGGCCGTCTGCTGAAGAAGAATCCCGAGACTCTCGATCCGTTCCCCACGGAGTTTTGAAAGTCGTGCTGACGTGTGAGCGTGCGTTCAAAACGAGACTGCCGAAAGACTGTCTGAGGAGTTTCCTGCCCTGGGCAGAGCTGATTGGTCGGCAGATTGAGACACAGGTGTTCGATTCGCTGAAGGACAAGTTGGCGCATGTGTTCCCCGCGGGGGCGTGCCAGGAACACTTCTACGAGCACGAGCTTGGCGTGGAGGTGCCACATGTCCTTCAGCTGCTCAAGCGGATCGTCTCCCTCTACTGCCGGCTGCGACTCCACCCCGCCCGCAGCTTGCACCAGCTCTGTCTCGCTCTCACCGCTCGGAGAGAGAGCAGAGACAAAACACGGAGCTCGGGGCTCGTCTACAGTGCTATGTAGTAGTTTATCGTCTCCCTTACTTGTGGTAGGACCGGCAAAGGGGTAAATTTTATAGGAGACTCGAAAAATTGGATTACTTTTCGGTTTCATCATGCAGCAATCTGGAGGCTGGCTGGTTGTTTGGCGTTGGTAGATATTATAAGAAGAATTTCTTTTCTAACTTGGTACCTGTCTTTGACGCAGCTCATGAAATTGATGATTTCCTCTGCTACTTACTTAACCCTTTGAGTGAGCCCCCTGACCTCCTGAGGCTACCGTGCCACTCTGACTGAGCTCATGACCGATTCATGCCTTCATTCATATCATCATCAGAATCACATTCCATATATCCTCACGCAAGGTAGTTCTCATCATTACCGGCTTCTAATTAGTAATTCGGGAAGATCTGTAAAATCATGAATAATGTCCTGTGTAGTAAATAAACACGGTTTCCTGCGTGTGTTTTGTCCAAGGAGTGCCATTTTGGATATAAGGTGTCACTCACTGGTGTACCGGTGGCTAGACATACCGAGCAGTTTCACGGGCCACAGCAAGGACTCAAAGGGTTAACTTACTTTGACTTTTTCTGTCCTCTTTTTATACGGTACCACGAGGTGTCGAGGGGAGATGCAGTTGTTGGAGGTGGGCCAGGTGTGTTTCCTGTTGATTTGTCAAATTTTAAAAGAAAATTGATGTATATTTTGTGCTTAGTTGGTTCTATCACACGTGTACAGTGCTGTGTCATGTTCCTACAATGCCGTATAGTTTGTTCATAATGATACCTCGTCAACAGTTGTAGTTGTAGTCTAGCATGCACATCGTGGAAAATGAACGCACAGAAAACAGATTTTCAGGTCTACCAGAATTTTTGCTAACTGTATTCTTAAAGATCTTTGTATTCAAAACATACATGGTAGTGCAAGCAATTTGTATGCAACCAAAAATGTAACAGTAACAACAATTAAAACTGGCATCTGCCAAGTTGGATCTAATTAAACTTGACTGCAAATTTCGTTTATCGAAATCACTTGATGAGAGAGGAGAGCTAAAGGGAGGATTTGGGGAGGGGGCGGGGGGAGGGTATGAGTGTAGACCCAGTAGGCCAATTTTGGCTACCTCCCTTGATATATCCTGAAATTGGAGCATCTTATGCGTCCCACCATTGTCGCTATACATGCTAGGATGTACTTCATTTACCAATGTGCTTAGTGGTATCTACCATGACTCATACCATACGGTCACAGTGGCGTCTCTAGCTGTCTCTCTTTCTCTCTGTCTTTCTCTCTCTCTCTCTCTCCCTCTAATAATAATAATAATAGATAGCATTTGTATAGCGCATATCCCCGCTCA